GTCATCCAATATTTGTCTTTCAGTGCAGTCATCGGCGGTGCGATGGGCTCTGCGCCCGATGACCAACGGGTCGACGAGTGGGCCAAAGAGTTGATCCCATTTGCAGCACCGCTCACGGGGTCAGACCACAGCTTATACATACTCTTAGTGTTAATTAATTAACTGAAAATTTAAGTGAAAAATAAAATCTTTTTTTCTGACAATGAGATGATTACTGGATGTACTGAAAGCTGAATGGGAAGTGAAAGCAAGTAGTGTTCCCCTAATAGTTAGCTATAAGTTATAACAGTAAAGAGTATTCAAATATAATGCAATCCTCTGTGAGTCATATGCTTTCTCTCCAATCGCCGTCCAATCACTCATTCATTCAATTCAATACTACAACCACTCCTCGATATAACTGTCCTTTTAATACATTTAATTTGCATTTTTTAATTAACACTTCATTAATAATCGCTAATTATTTTATGCAATTTATAAAATAACACTTGGAGTTTGCAGTAAAATATTGTTTAAGATTGTTATTTAACTAAATACTGTTAAATATTTTAAATATATGATACATGTTATGCATATTTGTTAATACCGTACAGTACTGTATTTAATATTGTATAACATACATTGTAGTGAACTTTATTTAAGTTATAGTGCTTTAGATATTTAATAAACCCTTTAAATAATTTTTGTAATTTCAATGCAATATTTTGAAGGTTTTTAGAGATCAATATCCTGACTATTTCTGGAATTGTCATATCATATAATAACTACAGTATTGCAATTATACAGAAACTGTGAGATTTTAAAATATTACTACAAGTACAATATTATTTTAAGTTAAGTTAATAGACACTTAGCATAAATGAAAGTTAATATCAAAAATCATATTTAAATGCTATTTAAATGCAAATTAATTTTAATGATTTAATTATTTATAATATACACATTTGGCACTAACTTTTTACAATAGATCTCAATATCAATAACAGCATTAATACATCCAACAAATCATTTATAATAAGCATTTTTTATAAGAAATCAGTTTTTGTGCAGTAATTTTATTAACATTTCGTTTGACAATTAGCAATAATATTATTATGAATATATGGCTTATTATTTGATCAAAACTACAACAGAATAGATATTACATGAATAAATGTATTGATCAATATATTGCTTATAATACAAATGTGAGCAACAGATACAGTATATTATAACTAAATAGACATCTATTTAAGGGATGAGGAGGAGAGACACTATGCGAGAGAGACACTTAAGGGACCCAATTCTGGTTAACCTTCGCTATATTCCTCTTGAGGTCCGGGTCCTCATCGGGTGACTCTTCATTCGTGTAATTCACATATTTAACGGCCGACTCCTTAAGCAGTGTCTGGTTCTCGAGCCTTCCCGGAGGCTTCTTCAGGAGATACATGAACGGAGCGAATAGAAAGCATACCAGTGCTGTGATAGAGCACAGACCACTGAAACCCAACCACCTCACTGTCCAGTTCATTGTTTAGTAAATATACAGTGAATATTGTTTAGTATACAGTGATTGTATTGAAATAAACAATCGTGTAATTGATTATGAAATGCAATGTGACTCATAACAGACCTAATGTTCCGGATAAGGCCGGCCCGATTGCAAATCCCAGGCAGAATAACTACAACAGAATAGATATTACATGAATAAATGTATTGATCAATATATTGCTTATAATACAAATGTGAGCAACAGATACAGTATATTATAACTAAATAGACATCTATTTAAGGGATGAGGAGGAGAAACACTAAGCGAGAGAGACACTTAAGGGACCCAATTCTGGTTAACCTTCGCTATATTCCTCTTGAGGTCCAGGTCCTCATCGGGTGACTCTTCGTTCGTGTAATTCACATATTTAACGGCCGACTCCTTAAGCAGTGTCTGGTTCTCGAGCCTTCCCGGAGGCTTCTTCAGGATATACATGAACGGAGCGAATAGAAAGCATACCAGTGCTGTGATAGAGCACAGACCACTGAAACCCAACCACCTCACTGTCCAGTTCATTGTTTAGTAAATATACAGTGATATTGTTTAGTATACAGTGATTGTATTGAAATAAACAATCGTGTAATTGATTATGAAATGCAATGTGACTCATAACAGACCTAATGTTCCGGATAAGGCCGGCCCGATTGCAAATCCCAGGCAGAACGCCACGTCTCCGATTGCATATACACTACCTATTCGTCAATATTTATATAAATCTCATATAAAAGTCATTTTCTGTATTTATTTTATAATCAATAATTTATATCATATTTAATTATACGAGCGATCAGTGCATATAATAGTGTTATTGAATTACCGTATATTGATGTATGTCTTATGTCAACTAAGTAACCTAAATATTGGTTTTCGATTAGTTATGCAATTAATTTCATGTTTGTTTGTCATTTAGTGGCTTAGTATGTCATACCGAGCATCGGCATCATAGAGCTGTCCACCATTCCTATACACAACACAAGTGAACCCATGTTATAATCAAATGTTTTTCCATTTAAATTCTTGTATTCAAATGTTATGCACAATGAATACAATATTTGAATGCATTTATTATATCGATATTTAAAAATAGTTTTGAATCTTAAATGAAAACTCATTAATCAAATCTCATACCAATTGCGAATCCAATCATTCCATTGGGAATAATCAATTGGTTTAGACTCGATATCATTGGTATCTAAAAATTCAATTCAGAGTAAAATTCATTTTTTAAATCAAATCAATTTAACACATAATAAGCTATTATTAGGCATACATAGAGTAACGCGAATCCGATAATAATTAATCCAAGCATTGATGCCAACCATCTATTCATATAGAAATCAATTGTTTAACAAACGAATACGAGTTCACAACTCTTTACTACCGTCCCATCCGGTGACCCAATGGACCAAATATATTGGTGCCGATTAAGTATGAGATGGACGCGGGCAGGAAGGCAGCACCTTGCTCCCAATTGGACGACTTCATGGTGTCCATCATAAACAAAGGTAGCGAAGGCTCCAGAACCGCGATGCCTAAGTTGGCGAAAGTGATGGCACCGGCAGCTACGAGGATATAGGGATCTTTGATCAGGGTCATTAGCGAGGCGCCCTCCTGTTCCTCTTTAACCACCTGTGGCTGTAATACGAGTAATTGCAAGCCTTTTGCCGCACAATAGAAGTCATGATTAATGCTAATTGAATGTATTATTTGTGCTATAAGTTTGAATAATGAGATCCCGGACTCACATCCATCTAACAGCGCCAGGAGTGCCAACACAACAAACGGTGAACTTTTACCGACGAACTCATACATTAAGCCCCCGAATGGTGGGCCTATGAGTACGCCCAACGCTAGTCCACCCAAAGCTATTGCCATACTATTGCCTTTTTGTGGAAAAGAGTGTGAAAGAGTTTAAGAAAATTAAAATTTATAAATATTTATTCAAAATATAAAATGTTTAAAAATAACATTTATATTTGAAATTCAAAGCCAGTAATAAAAAGCAATCTTAATCTCAAATTATTAAACTTGGACTAAAAGTTTATTTTACTAAAACTACTTATATCAATATTTAACGATGAATTATTTAAAATCTAAACTAAAAATTTAGACCCAAAATGTAAATTTAATTTAAATTCATATATTTATTTATTTATAGCTCTTTAAATTTATTTTACTTATAAATAGTGAATAAAAGATGATATTTTTGCTAAATTTAAATATTTGTTTCCAATTTTGAATAGTAAGTGAGTTTTGGTGAAAAGAAATTAATAAAAATAATGAAAATATTTATGCGTTTACTGTAAATGATTGATATTAATATTAATACAGAATAAACATAAAATGCAATAAATATTCAATTGCTAGTGACTTAATGTGTTAATGACCCGAATCTAAGCTAAAAGTATAATAAAATATTTTAATGAATACTAATATGAAATATTGGATTTGATTTGACTATTAATTGTTTGAGATCTACCAAAACTAATCAATTTTGTTATTTTCGTCAAGACCTCAATAAATAGTCAAAAATTTTCTTTAAAACAATGCTTTAATTTCAATCAAATCGCTATTTTTGTAAAACATTATAATAATATAAATTAATATATAATTTATTTTTAATATTAAAATTTAAAACAGTTAAACATTTCACTGCTATTGTGGTTCAAAAACTGCTTTATTATTGTTCTAAATCTATAAATCGTGTCATTATTGATGTCATCTAAATCTTCTTTATTCATCAATTTTATCAATAATTTTAGGCCAAAACCTCTTCGCTATTCTTAACTCATTTTTTATAAACATTTGAAAAATCGCTTATAAATAATCATTATTTCGAGCAAAACAACTAAAATAAGACATGATTTTCACTGTACTCTATATAATTAGACGTTTCCCACAAACACAATGATAAGTTAAAGCAAAAATATTATTTCAATTCATATGTATAAAAGGGAAAAGACCTCTTTCACGGTCATCAGGATATTTCTCGGCTAACATTCCCATTCCGGCCACACTTGTAAACGCGGATCCGATGCCTTGCATAGAGCGCGCGATGAATAGGGTCGGGTAGGACGAGCCGATCGCGAATACTATTCAAGTGCCGTATTATTCATTATGAGTGCAATTTATTATGAAAATAAAATTTACAAACATTTGGATAACAATAGGGATAAACAGTCTCTCATGCCTTAAATTTTTCCCTAAATGTAGGCGTATATCATATAATGATAGGATTCTCGACGTTATTTGCAATTTATAAAGTTTTCTCATAAGACATGCATTATTTGATCTCTTGACATATTGTAATGGGTTTGGCATTCAATATATCGCGATATTAAGGCTGAGTGACTGAACAACAGATTGAAGTGTAAGGGAAGGGATGGAGGGGAACGACAGCAATGTGAAGACATACTCATCGTAGAAAAGAATAGTAGAATTAATCCAAAAAATAGTGGCCAACTATAGCCTATTCTATAGAAAGTAAATTTATAATTATTTTACTTTTTCAGAGTTAACACCAATTTGTTTAAAAAAGACAAATGAATTCTATTTTAACTATATATCAAATGTTAAATGTCTTATGTTTCATACACTGTTCAGCATCCTATCTATAAAGTAATATTTGTTTAACATTTTTCCTAATTCAATTTCAAAATCTTTTCATTTATTGTCTTTAGGTAACTCTAAGCCCTTTTAAGCTTTAAACTAAACACTAAAAAATAAATTTGATTCCTCTTTCACTCTCTAAACAACTTTTGTAAATGAAATTTAAGACTTAATGCGTTGTCTAATCTTTATATACACTTAAAATATCAACTTCTATGAAAGCCTTTTGAAGTCACAGATGCTATTGTTTTGTTGCTTTTTAAAGAAAACCATTTCACTGCATAATCACTGTTATTAAACTTAATTCTATAAATGCTAGTGTTGTGTATAATTGGATGCATTTATGATTATGATTATCATTAGTTGATTGTATAAAGTGATAATTGTTACACAAATATAATAGACAGAGAAATGATGGCTCACTTATTGGTGAGGGGACCCACGAAAGGGTTAGTAATGGCTTGGACTATGGGCTTGGAGGCGAACATGATGCCCACCTCCACGTTCTCGTTTATCAACTCTTCGTGTCTGAGCGCGTCCTCTGCAGGGATGGGTGTAGTGGTCGGCGGCTCTAAAGTGGTCGGAGGCTCTGGCGTTGTCGACAACTCTTCCTTTTGTTATTTAAGTTGATTTATAACAAAAGAAATGTGCGATGAAAATGAGATAAAGAAGAAATATGTTGAGCTTATAATGGATTTATGAAAACTTCTAAAAATTGGGTTATATATTGAATGGTAAGGTTTTGATTGAAAGGTTAGAAAATAAGTTTATATTATGCTATAAACGCCTTATGCTCTCGTACTTCA